TTGGATCCACATCTCCTTAATTATGACAAAACTCATGTAATCCCTTAATCCCACAAAAATTGACATGAAACAAATTGGGCCCAGCTGTTTGAAAGTGTTTTCTGGTAATTTTACTCATTTAATGTTTCATATGTGTACTTTTTATTTTTTTGGTTTTGATGAAATGAAGAAAATTAAAAATTGGCAAAAATCAGACTTTTGAAACATGAAGGTGCCACATGTTTGGAGGAGGAATGTGCTGGTGCCAGTTTTCAAAAACAAAAAGGATGAACAGAGTTGTAGAAACAAGAGAGGGATAAAGTTGAAGAATCGCACAATAAAGTGCTGAAGGAATTTTTGGAGCGAGGCTCAGACAATGGATTTCGATGAAGCTTTTATTCTAGCAATTTTTTCCTGTTTTACTGCCCTTTTCATGCTTTTGTAATTAAATTTTCTGTCTCTCTCAGACAGCATGTGGTTAAGTGTACAATTATTTTATTTTCCAGTTGATGAAGTCTGTGCATGACGAATGCCCCAACATCACCCGTATTTACAGCATCGGGAAAAGCTACAAGGATCTGAAGCTTTACGTCATGGAGATCTCAGACAACCCTGGAAAACATGAACTGGGTGAGGTTATGGATTGCAAACGTTTTTCCAAACTATGGTCCAGATTCTCTAAAATCAGTCAAACCTGGTTGGAGATTTTGTTAAATTTATATTGCAGTAATTTTTTCTCAACAACCTTTGATAATGGTCTTAAAAAGTCTTAAATTTGAGTTGGTGAAAACTGGAGAATGTTTTTTTTTTAAGTTTTCTTAAAAGCAGATTTTCTGACCACATTAAATTAATTATGTAAACATTTACTATATACTGATGTTATATCTCATCCACAGTCAAGTCAAGCACAGTGGTAAACCTAAAGCTGATCTACCTGGAGTTCCTCTCTGTTTGCTCTGAGATGTACAAATGTTTTCTTTGGCCATTAAAAAAAAAAAAGTCAGAGAAGCAATCAATGTTGAGCTGAGGGAGGCTAATTAAATACTCAGACAGAAAATAAAGGGGAAAAAAAGCCACAGTGGATTTGAGCTTCTTAAGCAAAAAGCAAAGAGCTTGGTTCCTCATTTTGCATGTGTGTTTTGACGCTTGTTGCAGGAGAACCAGAGTTTCGGTACGTTGCAGGGATGCATGGAAATGAGGTGCTGGGTCGAGAGCTTCTGCTCAACTTGATGCAGTACATGTGCCAAGAGTATAAACGAGGAAACCAACGGATTGTCCATCTGGTCAAAGAGACTCGCATACACCTTTTGCCCTCCATGAACCCCGACGGATACGAAATGGCCTTTAAGAAGGTGCCAGAAAACCTGATTTAATGTTTCCATTCTGAGCTTAAAAAGAGCTTCAAACAGAACAGAATCCTTTTCCTCTGGTCCTCAGGGCTCCGAGCTGGCCGGCTGGGCTCTGGGACGTTACAGCTATGAAGGCATCGACATGAACCACAACTTTGCTGATCTCAACTCAGTGATGTGGAGCGCCATCGAGCTGGAGACAGACCAGTCCAAACTCATCAACCACTATTTTCCCATTCCTGAACAATACACTTCTGAAGAGGCTTTTGTAAGAAATGCAGACATCTTGTTTTTGTTTCAAAAAGTTCATCCAGTTTGCCTGAACAAACTCGCCAAAACTTGTACATCAGCTTCAATTTTAAGTGAAAATTAACTGAGTAAGATTAAGTCCATGCACTTGGCTTAAATTGAAAACTTTAGAACTTTCTTCAGAACTTATTGATGAGGTGTTGAGGTAATACATTTCTATCAATCTGATGTTTCAGCAATGACCCGTCAAACTCCTTTTATACCATTTGTCAAAAGTTTTTCTTGACATTCTTATAGATTCTAGACATAAAAAAACAAAAGTACAATAGTACATTTCTGACATAAAAAAAAAACAAGAAAGTCTATATTAATCTGAGAAAAGTTTCTAGAAAAAATTAAATTCTCAAGTTTATATTTCTGAAATTAATCTAACAATTTCTGAGTTTTTTTTCTAGCAAATTTTCATCTTTTCAAACTCAGAAATGTCGAAGTTTTAGAACATTCGTGATTCTGGTTGTAATTTACTGATTTTTTTATTTTTTTTTATCAACAAATGTCCCCAGTACGCCATTAAAGAAAGGTATTTGAACTCAGGAATGTGTTGTTGCAATGCAAGCAGTGCTGGCTTGCACAGTTTGCTAGCATGAATGATTTTTTTTTCTTTAATAGGTTGCACCTGAAACTAGAGCTGTGATCAGCTGGATGCAGAACATCCCGTTTGCTCTGGGTGCAAACCTCCATGGAGGAGAGCTGGTCGTCACCTACCCATACGACATGACCCGGGACTGGGCGCCGCGCGAACACACGCCCACCCCTGATGAGAGCTTCTTCCGCTGGCTGGCTGCAGCGTATGCCAGCACCAATCAGGTCTCTCTCACTTTTCCCTGCTTGAACTTCCTCCTCTGGGAAGTGACTGAGGAAAGTTTGTTGGCTGATCTACCAGGTGATGTCCAACCCAGACCGAAGGCCATGCCACAACAAGGACTTCCTCAGATACAACAACATTATCAATGGGGCCGACTGGCACAATGTACCTGGAAGTAAGAACCCATGTTTTGTTGGATTTTAGTTGAATATACAATTTAATATAATGCAACAAAAAGTTTGTCAATAATTCTAAATCCTTCTCAATATATCTCTTTATAGCTGAAGCTGAAATGACTTATTCTGACTCTTGGAGATGATGTTTTCTGTTTTTGCAGGTATGAATGATTTCAGCTGGCAACTTTTCTATGACCGTGGAGTTGTCCTGCGACAAGTTTCCTCACGCCAGTGAACTTCCCATCGAGTGGGAGAACAACAGAGAGTCTCTGCTGGTTTACATGGAGCAGGTCAGAAGGCATCAGTCATTTTTTGTTGCTTTACAACTTGCACTTGTTACTGAACCAAGTTGGTTTTAGTTAGTTGTAAGTTGTTGGTAGTGTCTCTACGTCTTACCTAATCAATTGCTAAGATGATTAAAAAAATAATAAAGAGCAGTTATTCGAAGAAAAAGATCCCAAAGGTAAAAACGTTTTTCCAAACTATGGTCCAGATTTTCTAAAATCAGTCAAACCTTAAGAGTCTTTTGGTACTGAAATCTGCTTTGATAGACTAAGCCTTAAAGTGTCAGGAAAACAGAAGGTATTTCTTTTTAAAGGGAATAAAAAACATGTCTGAAGTTATACATCCAGCTGATGAGTCATAATTTCCTCATGAGTCTGCTCAGTAAAATCAGGTCATGCTGATGTGACACAGACTCACTGCACTTTTTAAAATCATAACTATCGGTTTTGTCTTATCTGTATCTGGTCAAATAGTAACTCATAACAAGAAGTTAATGAGTTGGATTTAATAGTTATGATGTAAACATTAAAAAAGGCACTAATAGAACTATTTTTAAGAATAATGATAAGAATCCACTTTCCTTCACAATAATCTAAATTTTCCTCTTTCAAGCCTGAAGGCAGCAAGTTTTGACTTGACCTAGAATGCTCTGACCTGGTTTGCTCTCCACATCTGCTTGGCTTCTTTGTATCTTGATTTTACATTATAAAACATAATTTGTGGAACAGAGTTAGTCTTTAGGATTTTATCCTGCAGAAAACTGTAAATTTCTCTATTTGAAAGTTCAGATCCATCGTGGAATTAAGGGTGTGGTACGAGACAAAGACACCGGGGTGGGAATAGCAGACGCCATCATCAAAGTCGAGGACATCGATCATCACATCAGATCAGGTGCAATTTATTTTTTATACACAGCGCCCTCTAGAGTTAGAACAGTTGGTACTCCTGCTGTCAATAATGACATTTAATGTGACTGGAGCTTTACAAAGACAGGAACCTTTGACCTTTCATCTTGACATGATCTCTTTACTTCAGACCCAGATTACTGGGTTCTATCTTTTGTCCAACAAAATCACAATTTCTTTTTTTTGTGTGTGTGTGTATTGCAACTTTTTTATTGTTTTCAGAGTAATAATTACTGTACTTGACCAAAAGCAGAATGTGGGCATGTTTGTTCATCTTCTACCCTCATTAACTAGATAAATTTTAAGTAGTAGTTCCACTGACATTATTTACTTTATAACAAGACATTTTCCCATGTTATGAAATAATCTGTTAGTGCAACAAGCACCTTTTCATCAATATTACAGAATTATTGACTTAAAACAAGCTCCTGTTTCAGTTTTATCAACTGGAACAGCACCAAGTAACATTTTCTATTCTGCTGAAATGTTACTTATCAGTTAGTTTTGTCTTATTTCAGGTGTTTTAAGATATTTCCACTAGAAACTAGATACAAATACTTTGTAAAATGTTGTGCTTTTCTAGAAGTGATTGAGGCTTAAATTATATATTTTTTCTTGCAGATGTGTTTTGTTATACTTTGCTTTTATCATGCTGCGCTTTATGCCTGGTCTTCCCTGCTGCAGTGGTTGATGGCGACTACTGGCGTCTGCTGAATCCAGGCGAGTACCGCCTGACGGTCAGCGCTGAAGGCTATCTCCCTTCATCCCGTACATGTTACGTCATGTATGACCACTTCCCCACAATCTGCGACTTCAGCCTCACCAAGACACCCAGTCGGAGAGCAAAGGACATTCTGGCAAAGGGGGGGAAACTTCCCAAAGACCTGCAGCTGAGGCTGCGGCAGCTACGAATGAGGAAACTCCGCATCACCACCAAGGCCATCAACCAGCGGCGCGCTGCAGCTGCTGGCAAACGAGCAAAACGTGTCTGAGAGGAAAGCAGGGCTTGGTTCAGAGACACCAAAACTCACTGGATTTAGCATTAGATTCTATTTTTAAAAATATTTTTATCAGAGGAGAGCAGGTGGAACAATCTACTTTTTTGTAAATGACCTGCTGTGGAGCAGCACCATATTTATAGCTCTAGGAATTTTTTTTATTTCCATAAAAAAAGTAAACCGATTGAGTATCAGAAGTTGTTAAATGAATCTTTATTATACAACTGAAATTGTACTTTACAGTTTTTCATAAAACAAAATTAAACAATATCATGTTTTTTGTTTATTTAAGAACAGTGAGCTTCCACTTGACACTGTTCCTCAGCTTTGGTGCTGTTGGGATCTCAGGATCTGAAAAAAAAAAAAAAATAATTATATATATATATATATATATATATATATATATATTATATATATATATATATATATATATATATATATATATATATATATATATATATATATATATATATAAGTCATTTATATTTCAACAACATCTACAGATCTCAAGACTTGGCTGAGAGAATATTCAGGCAGTTTTTCACAAGATTGAAGACATTCAAGTTAAAAATATTCCCTTGGTTTGCATGTCACAGATTATTTAGAGATAAAAAGCCAATTAGTTTTTTTTTTAGAATTTGTCAAACTTAGATCAGTTAAAATAAAAAAAAAAATACTTAAATAAATCTGTATAGGATTAACTTGATGAAACACAAACCTTACAAATCATAGTTTGTGATCAGTTATACCATGATTTTTAATTATTCAAAAGGAAGGAATTTCAATACTTTGTTTGGCATCTCATCTAAGCCAAACCAAGAACTTTGGGTCTAGCTTTTAAGTTTACGTTTTTTTTACATCAAATTCTGTTGTGACAAACCAGAAATAAAAGGTTATAATTAAAATGCAATATAATTTATATTCCAGACTGTGCTAACCTCATACAAACACAAAATAAAATATTAAATAGGGTTTGTGCATTACTTTGAGGGGAACAGGAGTTGGAGATAAAACATAAAAACCGCAAATCTTAACACCGCAAACTGTACCGACCGAGTTGAGATGCTGCAGGTTTTTGTTGCTGCTGCTGGAAAGACGCCATGATGCTGTTTGCTGTGGAGTTTGGACCAGTTACCTTTAGAGTTAAAAAAATGTCAAAAAGCACAATTTATGTTTAGAAAATGTATGCAAACATTTCTGCCTTCTTATTTGTCATTAGTATTGAATATAGTTCACTCTATCAACATCACATTTTACCAGTATCAGCTGCTTTGATGTTCTACCTTTCTCAAAAATAAATAAGTACAGACATAGGATAGAAATATCCCTTATTGTCCAACAGTGTGGAAACTCAGGTGTCACATCAGCAAGTCAATACCTGATTAACAGATTTTGTAGATATGGATGCAAATGGAAAAAATGGGAAAAACAGATGAGATGAAGAATTTAATACAACCGTCTTTGTTGCTTTTGTCGGCAAATTATTTAGAATCTTGACTCCAGTCATTTAGCTAAAACCTTTAATAAATTTAAAAATTTTGGTGCCCAACAAAAATATAAAAAGAACATATTATGATTTTGAAGAGGGTGTTATATTTACCGGAGCGTTGCTGCTCAGCAGGCCTTCAGGCCACACCTCAGGAATAGCACCCTCCATCATTTGCAGGGCTTCTTCGTAGGCCAGCTGCAGTTTCCCGGCCTGTTTATCAAACTGGAACAGCACCAAGGCCTTAAGGAGGCTGTGGATCTCCTCTGTGGAGGATGGAGGGACAGATTTGCTTTTCACCAGAACTTATTACTGCTTTATTAACTGCAGTATGTCCAATGCAGGTTTCTTGATGTTTCTGCAGGTTAATTTTGAGCCTTATCCTATAAAAATATAATTTAGAGATATTATCAACTTACCTACCCTTTTACCTTACTTAATATTAACTCAAGCCAGTTGGATTGAACTTTGTCACCTGTAGTTGTTTTTCCAACTCTGGATTGTAACCAAAATCATCCAATTTTTTCCCAAGCCACTAATATGAATCATTTGTTTCTTCCTCATTTATAAAATGCATCAAAATGGAAGATTTACACTTAGTGTTTGTATGGAAAAACATCAAACCACAAAACCCAAAACAGAACAGCGATTTGTTTGGTACACTTTAGTTTGAATTTCATTTAAATTGGGATTTATGTTTTAATGCATTCAATCTCCAAATATTTTGTTAGATTTGGAACCTGTTAATGACAAACCCACAGGACAATTTTTTAAACTAGAAATCCAATGACATTTCATTGGAACAAAAAATTATGTTTAATCTTGACCCAAAAAGCCTGATCAGTTCAAATACTTTCAGCCAGCATGAAGGATTTTGGTTTTGTATTGGAAAACAAAAATCTGCACCTAAGCAGGCTGCATTTGAAGGAGGGCCATACGTAAAATAAAAAGTCTTGTTTGTACCTCTCATCTTGTCTACAGTGGTGATGATTTCACTCAGGGCATGCATTAGGGCTCTGTCCTCCATTGGGCTTCCTTCCTTCAGACTCAGCTTCTTCCTCTCCGCTTTCCGGCGGTTCTTTGACGACCTTCTGCAAGAGAAATCCAAACACTGAAACCAAAAACAACAAAAAATATTATATTGACTTCATGGGTTTTTTTCAGGTGTGTGCCCTTTACGAGGAGATCCGGGAGTTACTCTGGGAGTATTTAGACGCGGTCAACACACTGCTAGCTTCAGAGTAAAGCTCAGCATCAGGGCAGTCTGGACCTTCTTCATCTAACAAGAAACATAAATGGTTTAAAACACAACTAGAACCAGATGTTTAAAAACATTTTGAAGGAGTGAAATGGATTTATCAGTTCTTCTCACCAAGCATATCCAGCCTGGCCTTTTCTTTCTGCTCTTGAACCACAGCCAAACGACTCCGGTGCCGGTTAAATGTTACAACCTGAGCCTCCAAGAACCCTGTTTGAGAGTTCACAGCTGTGGAGAACAAAAATAAAACCTTTTCTCCAGCTATCCTCTGGATGGTACATAAACCTTTTTAAACAACATGAGACAATCACTGTTTCGTCTTACCTTCTAACAGAGCAGGTTCAAGGTTGGTTTCAGTGATATCCTGTCTGTTGTGCACATAAATCTTCAGAAATAAAAAATATATATTTTAATGCCACACAACCCAAAAAGAAAGAAGAAAAATCACATTAACAAAGAAGATGAGTTTGTTTACAGACCAGTCTGAGCGCCTCCTCCCAGACTGCACCAGTGATTAGAGCCAAGATGGCTTCCTCACAATCCTGTTTGAAACAAAAAATAAAAACGTTTATAATGAACCATAAACAGCACCTGTTGCAGGTTGAGGAGTCATTTCACTTTGTTAGAAGAGTCCTTCACTGTTTCCCGTTCACTTTTCTCCACTTATCTACTTTGGCTTACTTTGTGCTGCTATTTCAACCTTTCAACTCATACCATATTTTGCTCATTGAGGACATTATGGTTATGTCTTTTTGTATTGACATCTAATACGGTTGAGGAAATATTCAGCTTTTTGGCCCCATTGAAATGAATACGGCATCCTATAATTTCTGAAAAATTCAGCTAAAAACTTTTTCACAGCTAACTACTTCCATGTATTTTCAGCAAGAAGCAAATTTCAAAGTTTAGAATGTTGTCATATCCTTCAACTACTTTTGTTTATTTGAGCTTTTCATGTCTTTTGCATATTTCATAAAATCCTTCTTCAAGATTTTTCTGGCATTATCCTTAGTCTTAAGAAAAAACAAAACAAAAAAACACTGACCCACTAACTCTGAAGGTTCCCAATCTAACCCTAATCCAACCCTTAGTATAATACTGTAGATCAAGATGCTACTTACTCCTAGCCTAGAGGCTGTCATTAGTATTACAGCTTTTTAGCAGAGTTTAGATTATGCTTTATTCAGCTGCTTCTGTCTACGTCTTAAATGTCTGCAATAGTGTATTCTATAGTGGACCTCAAATACTTCTGTAATTTTCACTAAAAATATTTTAGTGAAGATACATCCACACTGCATCTTCACAGGAAATGCAAATTTTTCTAGCTTCTTACTTTGGCGTACTGGTCCAAAAGCAGAGCAGCTTCTGCCCACCGCCTCTGCTCGGTCAACTTCTCTGTGACAGGCAAAGAAAAAAAAACGTAATCAGTTTTTAATTTTTTATCTTGCTTCAGTTCATCTTAGAACCAATTACTGTGGTTCAAAGATTACCAGAACTAGTCTGAATGCAAGTTTGGAATTATTGTCCAAGCTTGAACCATCTATTTTTTAGTTTTAAGAAAAATTTGAATGTAGAACTCCATCTTCACTCTTCCACTCAGATTCTATGATGCAGGAGCACCGCTGTCAGTAATACAGACCCCCAGCATGATACTCCCACTGCCATGCTTCAGAGATGTTGAAGTGCATAGATACCCACACCTTGTCATTCTGTACAGTGATACTGACATTTCCCCATATGTTTCTGGTCACTTTAGCCATTTTTTCCCTCTTAAAGTCAGAGTTTGGATCAGATGCATTTCTCTCCATCAGTCAGACTACATGTTGTCATGGTTACCTGCCAAGTCTCTGGCCAGCAGAGCTAACTGGTCTGGTGGTAGAGGTATCTGTTGTGCCACACAGATGGCGTTTCTCCAACTGGAACAGCTGGCAAAAGCCTGCAGAGCCCTGGCGGGCTCGCCGCATCGCCACAGCAACAAGCCGGCCTGCTCAGCCTGTTGCTGCTCCATCAGGTGCTCAGCATATGCAGAGCTCACAAGCTGAGGGCAAAAAGACTCAAATCACTCAGGATTCACTTGCTCTAGTTAGATATCAAAACTGTTGAGAAATAGTGATGGGATTTAATTCGCAACAGCTCACCTTGTACTGAGGACTATCTGCCGTGTACAACCGCATAGCTTCACTGAAGAGTTTCTGCTCCTTCACCAGCTGCAGAACTTCAATGAAATGTTCCTCTCCTGAGCAAAACAAACAATATTCAGGCCATAAATAACCATCCTAAACTCCAAACATGTTTCCGCATTAAATCAGACTGTCCAGTAGAAGCTGACTGACCAGACTTGCTGAGATGCACCAAAGCCTTCCTGTAGCGTTTTAGGTGTTTGTCGATGGTGTAGCGTTGGTAGTTTGGCTCCAGGCTCTTCAGCATGTTCAGGAAAGGAAGATACTCTTTGGGGTCCTGAAAGGGATAAGAAAAGACTATCATACAAAGACCTTAAAAAGTTTTTCTTTATATTATTTTTTTGATAAAAAAAACAACAAAAAAAACTTTACAGGTTAATTAATATGTTTGTTTTTGCTTAGCCTGGTGATAGTTTATTTGGATTTAAAGTGACAAGAGGCCTTCAAACAGCTAAAATCTCATCTATCTAGAATGACTTTATGCAACAAAAAGAAATGCAGCGGACATGTTTTGTATAGCCCATAGCCCTATCTTAACTTGTTCAAGGGAACTTAATAGATTAGTAAGTTATTGTATCGTTATTATCTAAAATAAATTATGTTTATTTGACTTCACTTACTTGACTTGAAAAAACACAACAAAAGTCAGTTATCTTAATTATATACTGTCAGAAAAACAACTGTGATCAATATGGACACGGATCATCTATCAGTTGTATTAAGAGTAATATTTCCAGTGACGTCTCGTACCTTCTGTGATTTTTCAGCCACCATGAGAACAAGGTCAAAGTCGTACGTCCCGAGTGAGTGTTCATACAGATCATTGACGTTGACGAGGAAGAGGAGGTACTTTAGGGCCTCTTCAGCGCTTACAGCTCCCGGAGCTTCAGGTGGCTTTTCTAAAAATACACAAACACATTTTTTCATAGTGAAATAACTGAAATAAAACTAATGCATATTTACAGACAACTTATATTGTGCAGATTATCAGTAAGTACAGATCACCTCGCAGCTCATGCACTTTCTGCAGAGCAACCTCGAGCTCAGGAACGGTCTTCTTCACGTGAGAAGTTAATATGGACAGACAAAACCTTTGAAGGAAAAAAATTTGAAAATGAAGCAAAACATATTTGATGTGTTTCTTTACACATACTAATTACTTTAATGCAACATTTGCTTTTTTAACCATGAAAATATTAAATATTTTTACAATACTGACACATTTTAAAAACATACTTATTGAAAAGCTACTAATAATAAATTAATATTTTTGACTTTCCGTATCGATTTGTTCAAATGCCTTCCGACAATCAGCAAATTGCCAAAAACCTGAAACATCACTGACTTGTTTGCATCCATTGCCTCCATGGCTTTCCGTAAAGCATCACATACAATGTCAACTTTTTTCTGGCCTGACACAACCTGGCTCTGCAGTGGGCTGCTCTCTGGGCGGGGGTACATGGTACAGGTCGTATCTTCTTCTCTATGCACAACAAGAAAGAAAAATATCTGTCATGAAAGAGAAGATTTTCCCTCAAAGTGACAAGCTTCTAATTATAAACATCTTACTTGAGCTCCGTGAGGAAGAGGTTAATGTGGTTAATAGAGTTGAGTTGAGTAATGAAGGTTTCAACATTTTCCAAAAAAGCCTGGAGAAGAAACAATCAAAAAGGTAGGACATATTATTAATCGTTTTAATCTTCTTCAGTCAAGAAACCTAATGCTGGTAACATTATGACAAAAAGCTACCAGCAACCTTAAACCATTTCATTTTCGTCTCTATATATTGATGTTCAGGGTAAAACTGTTTCCCAAACAGGAAACCACTGAAAGATCTTTGTCCTGAAATTTGGACAATCCCATTAAAATCACCTAAAAAAGCTTTTAATTCCTTATGTAATTAATGATGTTCCACAAAAAACACATAACTTTTGTTTTCTTAGTATTTTTAGACACACTTCTCTATAACATGCATGCATACCTTTGGATTGTGGTCATAAATGAGGTTTAGGTTGATCCTTAACTTCCTCATACACTCAAATGCCTCTCTGAACTTGAAGCTGTGAAAAAAAAATCAACAGCTGGATTAATAAAACAAAAGTCATTCTTGAAAATTAAATGCTAAAATGATGATGGTAGGGAGTGCCCGCTGTTGAAATAAACATTTTAACACTGTTATTAGTTTTTAAACATTTAATGAAAGCAAAACAAGGGATAAAAAGTATAGTTGCAGAAATCCCTGATCCTGGAAAATGTTCCTTGAATGGAAATCTCTTGGTCTACAAAAAGATTGAGTTAAGCAATATGAAACAAATTTAAATGTAACAAGAAGGCTATTAAACTCACCGATCTAAACACTTCCTTAACTGAGCCAGAACCAGCGCTCTGTGATGAATGGTCTCCAGATTTCCCCGAGGCATCTGAAAACACAATAAACTGATGAGTCACATTTTTCAAAGTTTTTTTAAAGAGATTTTAGAAATATGGCACATATGGAGAAAATATAAACTGAGCTGACCTGTAGAATCACTCTGGTGTCCTGAGGGACCACAGTCACGATCCTGGAGCCTCGCTCCACTCGCCGAAGTGTCTCATCGTTCTGACCTCCATCAGAGGACAAAGCCACCTGCAGACCTGCACTAAGACAATTTTTACTTTTAATTTCATGAGGGAAAAAAATCACCATTTACCGGAAGGCATATTACTTCCGACGTCTCATAGCATTTTATTTGTTTCTTTCGCACCTTTGAGGGTGAGTGTGCTCAGCTGGAGGCAGCGGCAGGTGTGAGAGTGAGTGGTGATGAGAATGAAGTCGTCACAAACGGCAAAGGAGCTAACATTGGACGCAAGCTGAAGACAAAGAAGATTTTTAAAAAATGTTAATGCTAAAAAAGAAAAAAACGGTAACTCAACACAAATATACCACATTGACTTTTCACCTCTGTGTCTCCAGCATACAGGTGGGATCTGTCTGTGAGGCCAAGGAGATATTCCTGCAAACATCAAGCAAAGAAAGCAAAAACATTAAGACCAGCACAGTTTTCAGACCAAAGTTCAAAACTTTTAAAATTTCTCACAGTTCTAGCCAGGTTTTCAAAGAGAAATAAAAAAAACATTATAGTGAATTTATTGTGTTTGTGTTTCTATTCAGACTGTAATTATAGACAAGGAAGATGAATATATCAGGGGTCTGCAATCTGTGGAATCCTCCATAATGGGTCTTTATAACCTTGGTTAAGGCGATAAATAACCAAATGCTTTTAAATACAAACATAAAAACAATAATATTAAGGTTTTTCATTAGTAAATATTAATTTGTAATAGTAATTAGTATTTGTCCATTCTATTAGAAATAATCTAACTTATTCTTGCAAAGGATGCAATCATTGATAAATATTAAGAAATGCTAAATGAATACAAAACAGTATTCATTTACAAAAGTTTTAGTATGGACAGTTCGTGAGGACATTTTGCTCCATTGAGAGTGAAGATTGGAAGGAGAGGATAGATTTCTCACAATGATTGTTCTAATTTTTTTTTTTAATTGTTGTGTTGTGTAGTTATGTTTGTACCGTTCCACTTATGCAGCAGAGAGCCGTTTGGATGCAGGACGCAGGAAAGTTGATGCTGTTGCCGCTGGAGTCACGCCAGTCTTCCACCGACATCTCAGGACAATCTGCAAACAAAATACAATACTTTACAGAAAATACACTTTATGTACCTCTAATATATGTTTCCATGCAAGTTTCAGTGCATCTCAAAAAATCCACAGCAATGAATAGATAAAAAAACACAAGTTACAGATATAGTTTCTCCATAAGCTATATGTATCAACGGAATAGAAGCATAAAAATCAGAGGAAGCAGATTATGTTTTGTTTCCTCACCCCAGAGGAGTTTCCTTATTTGTCCATCCTCCAGCTGCAGAGCCACAGTCCCAGTCTGAGAGGAGTGAACCATACTGATCACAACACCTTCAACCTCCACCTGAGACCTGAGATTGAAAACCAGCACGAAAAGGAAAAAAAGAAAAGTAATTAGAAAATTCATTATGAATATTTTAAAACAATGTTGAAGAGGATTCAAAGTCTGCAGACCGAACAGCAAGTGTATCAGAGGCGTCCTGCGCAGGATGAAGCACCAACAGGGTGGAGGTGTTGGGCACAACACCAGAAGTGATGACAAAAAACAGTTCCTCCTGTAGCCACAGCAGCTGCCGCAGGGCAAGGGGATCGTCCTGAGGAGCGGGCAATCTGAAGGCAAAACAAGAGAGTTGACTTCTTTTTTTCAAGAAAGAATGAGGAGCAGAAATGTGTCAGAACAATTGGGTTTCTTTAATTACCTGAAAGATTTCTGGAGGACAAGAGGACGGGACAAAATGCTGAATCCATCTGCAGTTTTGTCCAAATCTTCCTTTGAAACTGGATTTACATAAAAACATGACATACATATAAAACATCAGCTAGAAAAAAAATTAAATAAAAAAACTAAATAACTGAAACAAAATGTATTTCGGTATAGAAGTATAGAAGTCATTCTATAAATATATTTTCAGGGAATATCATTCAATGTTTTGGAATAAAAAGTTATCATCTCATTATAACTTAATTTTCTCGCTATCATAAGATACAAAATTGCTTTCTAATAATCAGTTATTTGAGCTCACAGATTGATTAGGATTTAAAATCCACTTTTTTTTAATTCTGTTTAGTTTTCCATGCTTCAGGCTGGAAGTTCTACAGAAATGTCTTGCTGGAGCTTTTTAATAAGCGGCATAATTCATTAGAGTCACTATGAAACACTGGATGTAATATAAAAAATGTAAAGTAGTCCAGAGTTTTGCATCTTACCTTCTCCGAACACCGACATCTGTCCATCGAGGTGAAGACAGCAATCTGATTGGTCCGTTCGGTCTGACAGAGGAAAGTCACCTGGTTGACTGGTGACTTCAGCTGGAGCTCCAATGAACACATGGGAGGAGGAACCACACTGTGCCTGAAGGTCGTCACCAGAACTTTTTCTGAAAAATGAATAGAACATTAAACTTGTGTCATAGAAACAAGAATAAAAAACTATTTTTTTCGTATTCACCTCCATCGATCACTGCCACGCTGGCATCATCAGTCACGTCGAGTCCAGGGCTTCGCTCTGTTGTCCAGCACCAGTCGTAGGTGACACTTGTCCAGCTGTGGGTCACAACATGGAGGCGTAGGGGGCGTTCTGGGTCCCAGCAGAAGCAGACAGGAGCTTTCTGAGGGTCTCCATCGAAGACCAGGCTCTGCTTCAGGTACCAGTGGTAGTTTCCTACCGTCCACAGCTGGACTGCAGCAAGAAGAAGCAGAGAGGCACATAAAAGATGTTAAGTACACACAAGCTTAAGATAATAATTAGTTGATTCAATCTTTGTCCGCCTCCTTATGTTCAATCATAATAACCCTAACTGACCTATAATAAATTTCAGCTGACCTTATGTTTGCAAATTTTATCTTAAGTCATTAGGGATGCAACTATAATTTTTTTAGTCATTTATTATTTTGTCAATTACCGGTAATTAGATTTTAAAAAACTGTGCAGTGTCCCAGCTTGGGACCGTGCAGATTTTTCAATTAACTATTTTTTAAGTAATACTTTAAACAATATTATAAATACATTAAAAGATGCAAATAAATAAAGAATTAAATTCCTTTAAAAAAAAAAAAAAAAACATTTTATTGCCTTAAATGTATTAAGAGCATTCCTATATTCGAATGTGACAATCCTGTTTTTTCTGCTCAATAGAAAGATTTCAATCTAAAAGCCTTTTCTCAGTCTAGCTGAAGTCAATCAAACTCAATTTGTTAATTCCATCTCTCTCAATACTAAATATAGATATATGGAATTATTTGAAACATGTAATTTTTTTATGTCTCTGTTGTGCTTACTGTAACTCTTGACTTTCCCATCCTCTCCAGAAGTCAAGTCTTCTAACCAAACAGCCAAAACAGTGGAGTCACTGTTCCACACCAGCTCCTTCACCTAAAGACACACACATTAAAATAATGATCTAATAATGTTGTCAGCTCAAATATTTATTAATCAAAAGTTATTAATTTACGTAATCAGAACATGCCTTGGCTTGGTCTTTGCTGAATGGTAGTGTGAAGTCTCCATGAAGCAGTCCGTTCTTCTCCATGAACACAACACTGTGTTTGTTGGGATGTCTCTGAGAGCTGGCAATCAGGCTACCTGAAGGTCTGAAATGACACATGAAGTTGATGTACAACTTTGATATTCATGGAGAAGAAATACAGTGTTTTTAGTTTTACACAGCTTTAGATTGTGAATTTTAAGGCGTTCTCACTTCCAGCACAGTGCCTGCTCCAGGCCGTTGATGGGCTCGCTGGTGGCCTGCAGAACGCCCTCTCTGTTCCAGACTCGGACCTTCCTTGCTCCAGTCTGGGGACAGATGGCGCTGAGGGCAAACAGCTGACCATCTCCCCGCCACGTGACTCTGGGTCTGCGGTCATCCCAGGCCACGGCTGGCTGCACATCCTGTGATTAAAACATGTAAACGGGACAGACTTAACATTTGTTCAATCAAATCTCATTTTTAAAGCAGGTCTGAAGTTTGAGTGAATCATCAACAACCTGAATCTTCTTCTGTGCTGCCTGTTTTCCCTCTGAGCCATGAAACTGAGTCTCCTTCTTCCCCCAACCCACTGTGATAAACTTCCCTATAAAACAAACCATGTAGTTGCACAGTTTTCAATTAGAAATATTCAAATCAAACATAATACACAAAATGTCATCACTACAAAAAAACAAGTCAGACACACTAATGATTAATGAGACTAACTGGATTCATTTTAGCACAATTCATTTCTGAACACTTGGAGAGAAGTTAATCTGAAGCTAAGATACCTTCACCAAAATCATCTTGGTGGATTCCAACCTCAGTAACCGGCTCAAAATCTTTGGTCATCATGATGATTGTTTCCTGTCCTGTGGAGAAAGACAGTTGTTTATTTATTTATTTATTTAAAGCACTGATAAGTGTATCTGTGTGAGTATGAATCTTTTAGATATAAGCAATGGACTCTAAGAATACCAAAATGTTTTCCAATTTAGGCGAACTTTCAAGTTTCCCAGTTCCTTGCAAGAAATCTGCAGGCCTCAGCAGTAAAATATAAGATTTTTTAAAGACCTTTAAATGCCATCTTGACTAAAATTTAAGACTGAGAAACTATAAACATTGAGGAGTGATAGAACCAATGGAGATGCCTGTGTGCAGCTCAAACTTTTACTTGACAGAAAATAAAAAATACATACAAGACTTGTTTTGCCATAACAAATTGTAAGACCTGTGATTAGCATATTTAGGCCCAACTTAAATGTTTTAAAAAGAATTTAATATATTCTAAGGTCTTAATTTTAGATACATTAATTTAAGGATTTTTAAGGATGTGTGGACTACCTGAATTGCAGCATTTTCCAGACAATCAGTGCAGAAACTGATTTCTTCAAAGATTTAGTTTTAGCTTATTTAATCTAAAACAGTCAGATACACAGATAACAGTCATTACAGTCAATCCAACTACAAATCAAGAACATTAAAAAAGTCAAGTAAAAATAATTTATATATGTTGAATAAATCAAAAAGCTGTAGACTGAATCAGTTTATGTGCCTACTCTGATATTTGTTGCAAATAAAGCATTTCCACTCCTCATGGCTTTAGTATAAGGAAAATTAACAGAACACACAAAATAAACAATCAAATCCAAACCAGAAAAAAAAAGGAACAAAAAACATAAAGATTAAAAAGGAAGTAAATTGCCATCATATTTCAAATATTCTAGTCCCTTTACAGCTTTTAATCAATTTATGCATTAATTCCTTTTAAACTGTTTTATTCACATGTAACGTGTCTGTAACATACTGACCAGTTGTAAGAATGACGAGTTCTTCATCAGGACTCCAGGTCATAGACGTAAGACCGCTGTCCACACTGCCAACACACTCCAACTGAGGAACATAATACTGTTTAATCTGCTTTCCCTTTAACCATAATCCTAACATTAAGCAGTGGTCTGAAAAAGATGGGTGGAAAAAAAAACACACCTGGCTGGTGTTGAGGTTGAAGAGAACGACGTCTCCGCCTGCTGTGGCCAAACATGCGGACTGAAGTTCAGCGAGGTCCTGCAGTCCCACCACCTCTCCACTGCCATCTTCTGGCAGGTAACCGTCAGCTGTTAACGAAGTTTCTCTGACAACCTAAAGAAAGAGAAAAAAAGGGAGGAAAATAATCAATCTGATCAAAGAAATTCTGCCATCTTAAAATATACAGAAATTAGGAGTACCGCACCTCGCCTGTGTGTGGGTCGTACTCTGTGACTGAGAACTGAGAGGCGATGAGGAGAGAGCCGGTGTCAGACCTCACAGAGAAACACTGAGGAGAACCAGGACCCTGCAGCTCTGAACTACAAAGGCTCTTCAGTAGCTTCAGATTCCTCATTTTACCTCAAGACAATCTGAAACAATGTTAGTGAAACATGTTCAAAACTGAAACATTTAACAGGATAAACCTACTTTTATCTGATCACACATCAATCCAAAAAAAAAAAATATGAATCTATTTTTTTCTATTAGTTTATAATTTCATATGTTGCACATGACAAAAATGAACAAACGTTATGGTAATGAAGCTCTTCCTCTTTTTCCTACAAGAACTACTAGGTAGAATACAAACTGCCTGGGAAACATTATTATTGAATCTCATTAGGTTTCATCTGGAAAAAATAAGAGCTCTGAAATTTCTTCAATTTGTTTAACATAAGTAATGGTTTTGAAATGATGAGAATCAGTTAATTCGTTAGTTAAAAAAACAAAACAAAAACAATTTCTGATCTAACAATCAGTTTAAACGTATTAAGTCAGATTAAGTCAGACAAGACTAAAAGTTAATTTCTAGTATATGTTCCAGCGTATAGCTCAGTACAGTAACAACAGAGAAAATGTAGAATCTTTTTTTTCAATGAAAGCCTCTGAAATTACATAAAATGAAGCCACAAAAAATTTGCTACAATCAAAAAGATTGGAGGAAAGTTTATTTCTGTCTCAAAGTGATCCTATAGCAGCTTAGCTAACTATAACTCTGTTTCAAATGAACACCTCTGAGCTTTGTCAACGGGTTTTTCATAAGTAACTGATGATAAACAAAATACAGTTAATTAATAACAAGCTGAAGAATATGTCAAAGATTTATTAGGGTCAAGAAACTACTCAGTTTACAAGCGAAATACTTTGTGTCCGAAAATGGAACTTGGTGTGTTAGCTTGAGGATTGAATACAAAATTTAACCTCGCCGAATAAAAACTAACATATTTTGCATTTTAATAAATGGAAATACAAGTGTGCATCTCACCGAAATTATGTAATTTGAGGAAACCAAGCTCCGGGATATCCAGCCAACACCACAACAACATACATGTGGTTCTGTCCAACTCTTCCCCTTTCACCCCTGGCTCATTCTGATGACGCAGCGGTGATGTCGCTCTCTAACGACTTGGAGTAAAACTACATCACTGAGAGGGGCAGGAAAAAACTAAATGATGTAATATTGCGTCGAATAGCAATTTAACCCTTTCACTAAAACACAAGCTTTGATTTCTGTCTGATACGCTGTAGTCTAACAGTGGATTTATTCTCAAGCAAGATAAGATTTATTTCAGAGAAGACTTAAAATAAATGAGACTTGTAGCAAGCACATTGCTACAGTGTTGCGTTGTCTTTTTTGATTAACTGAATCAAGATTTATTTTACGCAAAAATGTACACACCTTCAGAAAATTTCACCACATTTTTTAGATAATTAAAAATGAGAGAATAATGAATATCAATATACAATAAACGTCATATAAAGTTTTTAAAGCAAAATGAGAGAAATGTTATCATGGGTTTTTAGTTTGCCAATTTATTTCCAAATCAATTGGCAAAAACAAACAAAATTCAGAAGCGCCTTATTCTGAAACTACACAGGATGTAAGGGTTTGAGCGGCCTCTTATTTTGTAAGAAAAACAGGAAGTAGTTTTATCCAATTCATTTTGTGTCTTGACAAGCTGCTTTTGACAACAGGTGGGACGTGAAGAGCCGCTGACATCTGAGCTGGAGTAAATATGCGATGACAGAAAGATAACAACATGGTAAAAACTATTTTCTTCACATTTTCAGTTATTTCAGCATTTATTTACTTGAAGCTGAGGCAGCAGACGGATCGTGGCGATCCTCAACCCTCAGCTAAACGAAGCGTTTAGCTTTTTATTGCTCTTTGCGCGTTGCGTTAACGTGTTTGTGGGGATTTTTAAAGGGCCACTAAAAAGTCGGTGCTCCGTGGAAGTGGAAAACTTTCACATTTGCCGACACCGTAATGCTTCGGTTGGTGTTTCCTCTCATTTAAAGTTATTTTTTAAATAATTGTAAGTGAACGGTTGTCTTAGGTTGTCTTAATTAATGTGAACGGCGTGATAGAAATATAACAGTAAAAAAGGAACAAAAATAGAGGCGATTGTAAGAAATTTGTAATAGGCTATATCTTTCTGCTCACATGCTATACAATCTAATAAAATAGGATGTACTTTTTGGCTGCTTACCGAAATATATTTTCTTATTACCATTATTAATTAAATGTACAATTCAGATTGTAGACAAGATTTTTTGTTTTGTCTTTGTGATTTTTGTTTATCCTCTCCAGTCCTTTAAATGCTCTTCCTTCTGTTGTTCTTGTTTTTCAAGGCCAAACAAACAAAAATGACAGAAAAACAGATAGCTAATCACACATATTTGTAGTTATTATGTGTTATTATAGTGCCAGCTGTAATTGAGGACTCTGTTGTCTACAATTACACTCTAAATGTGGGCTATGTAAGTTGTTTAGTGCTTTGCTCTTGAATCTTCTACACATTTTGTCATCATAACCACAATTGTCATTTTTGTTGGGAGTTAATGTCATAAAACAGCACAAAAAAGTGCCTAACAATGAAGTAGAAGGAAATTATTTATGCTAGTATGTGGCATTTGTATTCATAATCCTTTATTTTGATACCTCTAAAATAAATCACCTGTCACCATTTCAGAATCTCAAAAAATACACCTGACACAATTAAATATTTCAAGGAGTATGAATAGGTTTGCAAGTCACTCCAGTTTCACATGTAGATGTATAAAGACATTTTATACATTACAGGTATAAAACATGCAGATGTTTACAAAATTTTATTTTGAATATATCTTTCCAAATCAGTTTTTTGGCAGAAAATGCAAAAACATTTGATGAAATCTCCATCAGTATTCTGCAAATAAATGAGTTTTTGCGTGGGATATGGTAATAGTTGATATTGTGCACACATCAAGTTACATGTGATGCTGATAGTTAACATAATGAAGTGCTGGTTTCTACTTTCCAACAAAAGCAAAAAGCAAACGTGAATAAGTTTTTGATTGACGAGACTGAATCTCAAGAAAAAGTTTCAAGTGAAGCAACTTTCACAACCGCCAAAAGGAAATTTAGAGAGATTTTCTTGGGGAATTACTTTAATTTCTGGGAATAAATGTGTCATATCTTGAGATGCAGGCTATTGGCTGCCTGAGACAACATTTCCAGATCAGACAGCTTTTGGTTCTGAATGTGAGGTCATTCATATTTTCCCCACCTTTTTCAAATTCTAAATATTTAAATTGTTTTATTGTTCCGTAGAAAATTATTTCCAATTATTTGTTTACATCCTCTCCTTCTTCATTGCAGAAACTTCCCTGAACCTTCTTTGTTGTAAATAATACAGTTCAAGGCCATGTCCGGCTGTATCCAGCACCAAACTGTTCACATGTCAACAATGAATCCTCAATATGGTGTAAAAACAGTGAGCAAAGTCATGCTGCATTAAGGTATCTTTGTGTTGATTGGTTTTGATTTGTGCAGCTTTTATTGCAGTTTTAGGAAGAAAGCTGAACAACAGATTGTGCCAGAATTAGAGTCTACAACTAAAGAGGAACTAAAGAGTGTGAATGAAAAATGTTTGCTGTTGGTGAAGAATAAATTCTTTCCGATGAGGTTGAAACCTTTACCGCTGATATTTGGCTGATGACTCAAGTTGAAACACTTGCCTGTGGGGTAAAGGAAGTTGTGAAATTATCATCTTCTCACTGCCGGTAAGGCTGCTGCAGCACTGACCTTTGACAGGATCACTGTGTAAGCAAACTTGGCAAAGAAGAGCCAATTATTGCCACTATTATTTTTAGCTGAGTCAATCCAATGTGAGTTCAACAAGCTCAGCAAGTTCAGCTGGAGAAAACTTGTGATCCAGAATGAAAGATTATTTTAGCAAATCTTGCATTTGCATTGATCTTGCATTTTTCACCTTGTGCATGTGGAGCTTGTTTGACTGTTGCTAAATGAAGCTGTTCACAGTTTTTTCAATGTTGATCTACATTTAGAGTGTCACACCACCCATAACGTGTTTCTTCCATCACTTATTTGTGATATGCATCCTGTAAATCTTGATGACAGCTGTTTGTCCAGCTCTGACATAAATAGATGAGCAGTTCTTTGTTGGTCACATCTAACTTCGCTCATCATTATTTGTAATTACCTTTCCACTTTAGTCATGGTACGAGCCACTTACTGTGTTTGAAACGTATCAAAACAAGCAAACCAAAGCAACATATTTACTTTGCATTTCTGGACCTGATAAATTGATTAGACTTTAAGTTTATAAAGAACAACAGCTTCAGAAATTCTGTGACCATTGATGTTATTTTCCTGGATATTTTCCTGGTAGTGCAGGTTTTGGCTTTAAAGGATGTTTGCTCTCTATGAAGTCAAGGATGAATGTTTTTTTTATCTTTCAAACCAGTTTTTGTTGGACATACACGTTGGGTTGCTTCGGATGAGCAGGTGTCACGTCATGAGAGAATACAGTCATGCAACATTACTCCCAGAAATGTCGATCTATTGAATAAGATTAGCTTCTGTCTTTTTTCCTTCCTCATTCCTTTGCGTCTGACTGTGGTGAACGCCTCAGTTCTGTCTGGCTTTCCTTAAGCTGCTACATTCCAGTTATTTCCCAAAGCTCAGCAACACATGGAATGACTGACTTGTGGTGACTGTCTACTTTATGTTTTCTTTTTTTTTTTGTTAAACATCGTAGTAATTTTTGAAGGTTATTTCAAAATTTTAAGACAAGAGAATTAATAGACTCATTGTATCAATTGTCAGTTCAAGTTTGTTTTACATGATATAAACGTAATGGAGTCAACAATTGTAAAACAAGCAATAAATATTTTATTTTGTTGAATACCATCATCAAATTAATCAAGAATGATGATCATGAAATGTATTGATCAATATTCCTATAGTTATTAATCAAAGGAAGTTCTAAACAGGCAGGTTTTTATCCTTGATTAAATGAAGTAAGTCAAGATAAACAAGCATAGTCTGTAAGGTTGTACAGCCTGTTATTCTTATGATAATATGGCTATTGATGTTAGTTTTACATTAAAATGCCAAAATTCAAATAAAATGTAATGCAGCTCGGTTTTCACAGTGGCTTAAAACAAAATGATGAACTGTTGAATATATTTCTTCTTGTAGAAATGTGCATCAGTTGCAGGAGAAGCCTTTTTTACATTTATGCTTTTGAAATTTTGTTGTAAAATAAGTTTACTTTACATTTTCTTCATTTTTTTAATAAATTAGAAATATTTTGAATAATTTATTTTCACTGACAAAAAATATAGGAGTGACTTAAAGTCTTCTTTTGTTTCCATACACCAGAAAATCCAGACAATCCCTTTGCAATTGGAAGAGGATGGGATTTCCCACCGTGCTTTTGTTTCCTGTGAGAAAAAAACTTCAATCACTTCTCTGCTCTGCCTTCATTGGCCCCTTTTAGTGTCCCACAAAGCTTCTCACCGAGTCGTCTGATTGGACCTTCAGACCCCTGTGAGGACTAATTGGCCAATCGCTGTTAGTTTTAGTGAGTGCAGTTTCCTCCTCTAAACAGCTGCTGCAGTCACTTAGCTTATTCTGCAGTAGGGGTGTGTGTGTGAGTGTGAGTGTGTGTTTGTGTTTGCGTGGCTACCCTCGCCTCTCGGAGCCATCCCACCCTCCTTTTCACTCCCATCCCCCTCTCTTTGCACTCTGAGGTTTTTCCCCTAACCTCCACCCTGTTGTAAATACACACTCACACACTTCTGCCACATGAGGTCCAGCAGCAGCCTGCTGTGTGTGAGTCACTGGAGAAAGTTACACTGGTGTGTTTGTGTTTTGCATGCAGCAGCAGCTCTCCTCTGCAGCTCAGCACTCTCAGGACAACGGGATAAAAAGAGGAGATCTCAGTTCACCGCAGCTGATTCAAGGTTTTGCAGAAGGTAATGACAGCCTCCTTACCTCTTAGTATTTGTAGTCGTCTCTGTTATACAGCATGCTATTGTCAGGGTGATGGTTGTGACTTTTATTGGTGCAACTTAT